ACAGACCACTGTGGCCCCCACCAATGGCAGATCAAGACCAAACTTGGCACACAGAGCCCCCATGACCCACTCTACATCCTGGTGAGGTTTGCAGGAGGACGGACCATGGATGATGGGACTTGAAGTAACTTCATCCGCTTCTCAAGACCGCTGCAACCTTCATCTAATGACTGATCAAGACCAAACTTGGCACAAAGAGCCCCCATGACCCACTCTACATCCTGGTGCAGTTTCAAGGAGGGACCATGGATTATGGGATTTTAAGTACTTTGACTCACTTCCTGAGACCACTGTGACCCTGATCCAATGACTGATCAAGATAAAACTTGGCACACAGAGCCTCCATGACCCACTCTACATCCTACTGCAGTTTGAAGGAGGGACCACGGATGATTGGACTTGCAGTACCTTCACTCACTTCCTGAGACCACTGAGACCCTCATCCAATGACTGATCAAGACCAAACTTGGCACACAGAGCCCTCATGACCTACTCTACATCCTGGTGCAGTCTGGAGGAGAATCGACCACAGATGATGGGACTCCCTTCACTCACTTCCCGAGACCGCTGAGACCCTCAGCCAATGACTGATCAAGACCACACTTGGCATACAGAGCCCCCATGACCCACTCTACATCCTGGTGCTGTTTGGACCTTCACTAATTTCCTGAGACTACTGCGAGCTACATCAATAACTGATAAAGACCAGCCTTGGCACACAATGCCCTTCTCAAATAACCCGGGCAACGCTGGGTCCCCAAGCTAGTTGACAGTAAAAGAGAGTTGGCCAGCATTGTTATAATAATTATACCGTGCGTGGGAATGTACCTTCAGGTCACTAATCAACTATAAATTTCATAGAGTTTTCTTAGGCAGGGGATACTGACTTATCTGGGTTATCTGAGTCCACATTCAGATACTGTGGGATTTCCTGCCTTGATATTCTGGGATATAGGGCTGTGTGGAAGGACCCTAGGGGCAGTTGTGCCAGTTCCTGCCTCTGAAATATAACCTACATTACCTGGGATTCGTTGGCAGTCTCCCATCCAAATACTAATCAGGACTGTTTGTGCCTGCATATAGTTTTTAAAAAGGGAATAAAGGAGGCCAAAATTCAAAACAATCTTAACAGATTAGAGAGATAGGCCAAAACTAACAAAATGAAGTTCAACAGTGACAAATGCAAGATACTGCACTTAGACAGAAAAAACGAAATGCAAAGATACAGAATGGGGGACGCATGGCTCGAGAGCAGTATGTGTGAAAAAGATCTTGGTGTCCTCGTGGCCAACAAGTTAAACATGAGCCAACAATGTGATGTTGCAGCTAAAAAAGCCAATGGGATTTTGGCCTGCATCAATAGAAGCATAGTGTCTAGATCCAGGGAAATCATGCTACCCCTCTATTCCGCCTTGGTTAGACCACACCTGGAATATTGTGTCCAGTTCTGGGCACCAAATTGAAGGGAGATGTTGACAAGCTGGAATGTGTCCAGAGGAGGGTGACTAAAAAAAAGGGTCTGGAGAACAAGCCCTATGAGGAGCGGCTTAAAGAGCTGGGCATGTTTAGCCTGAAGAAGAGAAGGCTGAGAGGAGACATGATAGCCATGTATAAATATGTAAGAGGAAGTCATAGGGAGGAGGGAGCAAGCTTGTTTTCTGCTGCCCTAGAGACTAGGACGCGGAGCAATGGCTTCAAACTACAAGAAAGGAGATTCTATCTGAACATTAGGAAGAACTTCGTGACTGTGAGAGCTGTTCAGCAGTGGAACTCTCTGCCCCAGAGTGTGGTGAAGACTCCTTCTTTGGAAGCTTTTAAACAGAGGCTGGATGGCCATCTGTCAGGGGTGATTTGAATGCAATATTCCTGCTTCTTGGCAGGGGGTTGGACTGGATGGCCCATGAGGTCTCTTCCAACTCTTTGATTCTATGATTCTATGATTCTAGGAGGGCAACTCAAATGATCAAGGGTCTGGAGAACAAGCTCAATGAGGAGCGGCTTAAAGAGCTGGGCATGTTTAGCCTGAAGAAGAGAAGGCTGAGAGGAGACATGATAGCCATGTATAAATATGTGAGAGTCACAGGGAGGAGGGAGCAAGCTTGTTTTCTGCTGCCCTGGAGACTAGGACGCGGAACAATGCTTCAAACTACAAGAAAGGAGATTCCATCTGAATATTAGGAAGAACTTCCTGACTGTGAGAGCCGTTTCAGCAGTGGAACTCTCTGCCCTGGAGTGTGGTGGAGGCTCCTTCTTTGGAAGCTTTTAAACAGAGGCATTCTCTCCTGATGTTTTGCCTGCATCTATAGCAAAAGATTACTGCAGATGGCCCATGAGGTCTCTTCCAACTCTATGATCTTCTATGATTCTATAATTAATAATAATAACTTATTTATACCCCGCTACCATCTCCCGAAGGACTCGGTGCGGCTTACATGAGGCCGAGCCCACAACACAACAATAACAATAACAGCAATAATACAAAAACAATACAAAACTCATAGCAAAATAAGCAAAAACAACAACAATAACAACAACGCAATTAAAAACCAATGGCTGGGCCAAATATGTGAGAGGAAGGGAGGAGGGAGCAAGCTTGTTTTCTGCTGCCCTGGAAACTAGGATGCGGAGCAATGGCTTCAAACTACAGGAAAGGAGATTCCATCTGAACATTATGAAGAACTGTGAGAGCTGACTGTGAGAGCTGTTCAGCAGTGGAACTCTCTGCCCCGGGGTGTGGTGGAGACTCCTTCTTGGGAAGCTTTTAAACAGAGGCTGGATGGCCATCTGTCGGGGGTGCTTTGAATGCAATTTTCTGCTTTTTTGGCAGGGGGTTGGACTGGATGGCCCATGAGGTCTCTTCCAACTCTTTGATTCTATGATTAGGAAGAACTTCCTATGAGAGCTGTTCAGCAGTGGAACTCTCTGCCCCGGGGTGTGGTGGAGACTCCTTCTTGGGAAGCTTTTAAACAGAGGCTGGATGGCCATCTGTCGGGGGTGCTTTGAATGCAATTTTCTGCTTTTTTGGCAGGGGGTTGGACTGGATGGCCCATGAGGTCTCTTCCAACTCTTTGATTCTATGATTAGGAAGAACTTCCTATATGAGAGCTGTTCAGCAGTGGAACTCTCTGCCCCGGAGTGTGGTGGAGACTCCTTTGGAAGCTTTTAAACAGAGGCTGGATGGCCATCTGTCGGGGGGTGCTTTGAATGCAATTTTCTGCTTTTTTGGCAGGGGTTGGACTGGATGGCCCATGGGGTCTCTTCCAACTCTTTGATTCTATGATTAGGAAGAACTTCCTATGAGAGCTGTTCAGCAGTGGAACTCTCTGCCCCGGAGTGTGGTGGAGACTCCCTTTGGAAGCTTTTAAACAGAGGCTGGATGGCCATCTGTCAGGGGTGCTTTGAATGTGATTTTCCTGCTTCTTGGCAGGGGTTGGACTGGATGGCCCATGAGATCTCTTCCAACTCTGATTCTATGAGGAAGAACTTCCTGACTGTGAGAGGTGTTCAGCAATGGAACTCTCTGCCCCGGGGTGTGGTGGAGGCTCCTTTGGAAGCGTTTAAACAGAGGCTGGATGGCCATCTGTCGGGGGTGCTTTGAATGCAATTTTCCTGCTTTTTGGCAGGGGTTGGACTGGATGGCCCATGAGGTCTCTTCCAACTCTTTGATTCTATGATTAGGAAGAACTTCCTATGAGAGCTGTTCAGCAGTGGAACTCTCTGCCCCGGAGTGTGGTGGAGACTCCTTCTTTGGAAGCTTTTAAACAGAGGCTGGATGGCCATCTGTCAGGGGTGCTTTGAATGCAATATTTCCTGCTTCTTGGCAGGGGGTTGGACTGGATGGCCCATGAGGTCTCTTCCAACTCTTTGATTCTATGATTAGGAAGAACTTCCTATGAGAGCTGTTCAGCAGTGGAACTCTCTGCCCCGGAGTCTGGTGGAGACTCCTTCTTTGGAAGCTTTTAAACAGAGGCTGGATGGCCATCTGTCAGGGGTGCTTTGAATGTGATTTTCCTGCTTCTTGGCAGGGGGTTGGACTGGATGGCCCATGAGGTCTCTTCCAACTCTTTGATTCTATGATTAGGAAGAACTTCCTATGAGAGCTGTTCAGCAGTGGAACTCTCTGCCCCGGAGTGTGGTGGAGACTCCTTCTTTGGAAGCTTTTAAACAGAGGCTGGATGGCCATCTGTCAGGGGTGCTTTGAATGCAATTTTCCTGCTTCTTGGCAGGGGGTTGGACTGGATGGCCCATGAAGTCTCTTCCAACTCTTTGATTCTATGATTCTATGATTCTAGGAGAGCGACTCAAATGATCAAGGCTCTGGCGAACAAGCTCTATGAGGAGCAGCTTAAAGAGCTGGGCATATTTAGCCTGAAGAAGAGAAGGCTGAGGAGACATGATAGCCATGTATAAATATGTGAGAGGAAGTCATAGGGAGGAGGGAGCAAGCTTGTTTTCTGCTGCCCTGGAGACTAGAAGCAGAGCAATGGCTTCAAACTACAAGAAAGGAGATTCCCCTGAACATTAGGAAGAACTGTGAGAGCCGACTGTGAGAGCTGTTCAGCAGTGGAACTCTCTGCCCCGGAGTGAGGTGGAGACTCCTTCTTTGGAAGCTTTTAAACAAAGGCTGGATGGCCATCTGTTGGGGGTGCTTTGAATGCAATTTTCCTGCTTCTTGGCAGGGAGTTGGACTGGATGGGCCATCCAACTCTTTGATTCTATGATTCTATAAATAATAATAATTCTATCTCTTTCAGAGCAGGGGGGTGAAGCAGGGTTTGGGGGTGGCCCACCTTCCCGTCCTTGGAAGAGAGGCGAGGGTGCCTCTGTTCATGTGCAGAGTGCCCTGCCTGCTGGCTCTCTACCTGGGATGCTGGGGAGGGAGGAGCTTCTCAACTGGGCATCTACAGCGTCAGGCCCTGAAGCAGAAGGGAAAGGAAGGACGGAAGGAAGGAAGGTGCCCAAAGACTCTTGCTTGATGGTTCTTCCCGTAGGAAACTTACCTGGAGAAGGCTTGCGCTGCCTCTCAAGGCGGAAGGAAGGCGGAGCGGCGGAGGAGAGCTCCTTCTTCCCTTCACAACATCAAGTGAAGGCTCTGAGGCACTTCGCCCCGCCCACTCCCTTCCTCCCTCCCTCAGCCTTCCATCCGACGCGCCGTGATGACGTCAGGAAGAACCCCACTCCATCCCCCTCCCCCCTCGCCACTTTCGAACCTTGGGCTTCTCCCTGCCGCCCTGCCTCAGTTTCTTAAGGCTGTTTTTTCCCCGTGGAACCGAGGGAGGGCTTAGGTGGCCTCAGCGGCAGAGTGCCATGGCTAGAGTCCTGAAGGTCAGGGTTCGAATCCCGCTCAGTCCGCGGCCATCGGAAGGCTACTCCCACATTTTTATCATGGTGGTTTAGATCACTAGATTGGGTACCCGGCTATGAAAAAAACATGGCTTGGTTTTGAAGGTTGGGCAATATCAGTAAGGTCAGCGTTTCTCAACCTGGGGGTCGGGACCCCTGCGGGGGTCGCAAGGGGCTGTCAGAGGGGTCGCCAAAGACCATCAGGAAACACACCCAAATACCTGGGAGTCGCTCTGGACCGTGCCCTGACCTACAAGAAGCACTGCCTGAACATCAAGCAAAAAGTGGGCGCTAGAAACAACATCATACGAAAGCTGACTGGCACAACCTGGGGATCACAACCAGACACAGTGAAGACATCTGCCCTTGCGCTATGCTACTCTGCTGCTGAGTATGCATGTCCAGTGTGGAACACATCTCACCACACTAAAACAGTGGATGTGGCTCTTAATGAGACATGCCGTATTATCACGGGGTGTCTGCGCCCTACACCACTGGAGAAATTACACTGCTTAGCCGTATTGCACCACCTGACATCTGCCGGGAAGTAGCAGCCAATAGTGAAAGGACCAAGGCAGAGACATCTCCAGCTCATCCCCTGTTTGGGTATCAGCCAGCACGTCAACGACTTAAATCAAGACATAGTTTTCTAAGATCTACAGAGACACTCGCTGGAACACCTCAGCAAGCGAGAGTCCAAAAGTGGCAGGCCAAACCCAGCACCTCAATCCGTGGCGATACCAGATGAGAGACTCCCCCCTGGGCACACAGAAAACTGGGAAACTTGGAAGGCGCTGAACAGACTGCGCTCTGGCACTACGAGATGCAGAGCCAACCTTCAGAAATGGGGCTACAAAGTGGAATCCACGACATGCGAGTGTGGAGAAGAGCAAACCACTGACCACCTGCTGCAATGCAACCTGAGCCCTGCCACATGCACAATGGAGGACCTTCTTGCAGCAACACCAGAGGCACTCCAAGTGGCCAGATACTGGTCAAAGGACATTTAATCAACTATCAAGTCTGCAAAATCTGTGGGTTTTTTTTAATCTGTTTGTTTGTTTTGTTCTGTTAGAAATGTAATACAATGGTATGGTTGCTGATGACATAATAAATAAATATAGCGGCAGGGTGCCAAGGCTAGAGTCCTGAAGGTCAGGGTTCGAATCCCGCTCAGTCCGCGGCCATCGGAAGGCTACTCCCAGATTTTTATCGTGGTTATTTATATCACTAGATTGGGTACCCGCCCATCAAAAAAGCAGGGTTTCGTTTTGGAGGTTGGGTAATATCAGGTCAGCATTTCTCAACCTGGGGGTCGGAACCCCAGGGGGGGGGTCGCAAGGGGGTGTCAGAGAGGTCGCCAAAGACCATCAAGAAACTCAGTATTTTCTGGGCTGTAGGTTTTTTCGGGCTATATGGCCATGTTCTAGAGGCATTCTGTCCTGACGTTTCGCCTGCATCTATGGCAAGCATCCTCAGAGGTAGTGAGGTCTGTTGGAACTGGGAAAAGGGGTTTATATATCTGTGGAATGACCAGGGTGAGACAAAGGACTCTTGTCTGCTGGAGCTAGGTGGGAATGTTTCAACTGATCACCTTAAACCATTTTCATGGTTTTCATGGTTTCCTCCTTTCTGTTGAAAATGAACAAAATCTGGCTACCAGTATTAAAAAAAAAACTCTAAAATTAGAACAGCACAACAACAGAGAGGAAACAAACAAGGACATCTAATTGTTGTTGTTGTTATTTCGTTCAGTCGTGTCCGACTCTTCGTGACCTTATGGACCAGCCCACGCCAGAGCTCCCTGTCGGCCGTTACCACCCCCAGCTCCCTCAAGGTCAGTCCAGTCACTTCAAGGATGCCATCCATCCATCTTGCCCTTGGTCGGCCCCTCTTCCTTTTGCCTTCCACTTTCCCCACCATAATTGTCTTCTCTAGGCTTTCCTGTCTCCTCATGATGTGGCCAAAGTACTTCAACTTTGTCTCTAGTATCCTTCCCTCCAGTGAGCAGTCGGGCTTTATTTCCTGGAGGATGGACTGGTTGGATCTTCTCGCAGTCCAAGGCACTCTCAGAACTTTCCTCCAACACCACAGTTCAAAAGCATCGATCTTCCTTCGCTCAGCCTTCCCTAAGGTCTAGCTCTCACATCCGTAGGTTACTACAGGGAATACCATGGCTTTGACTAGGCGGATCTTTGTTGCCAGTGTGATGTCTCTACTCTTTACTATTTTATCGAGACTGGACATTGCTCTCCTCCCAAGAAGTAAGCGTCTTCTGATTTCCTGGCCACAGTCTGCATCTGCAGTAATCTTTGCACCTAGAAATACAAAGTCTGTCACGGCCTCCACGTTTTCTCCCTCTATTTCCCAGTTGTCAATCGTTCTTGTTGCCATAATCTTGGTTTTTTTGATGTTTAGCTGCAACCCAGCTTTTGCGCTTTCTTCTTTCACCTTGATTAGAAGGCTCCTCAGCTCCTCCTCGCTTTCGGCCATCAGAGTGGTGTCATCTGCATATCTGAGGTTGTTAATGTTTCTTCTAGCAATTTTTACCCCAGCTTTGCATTCATCAAGTCCCGCACATCGCATGATATGTTCTGCATACAAGTTAAAAAGGTTGGGTAACACACCCAAATACCTGGGAGTCACTCTGGACCGTCTCTGGTTGCTTCTGATCTACGGATGGAACAAATCAAGAACTTTGGTCCAAAAGCAAGGCGCTGGCTGCTGGAGCTGATGAACAACTGCACTGCATCCTGTCAGATCCCCAAAATCTGGAGGAAAGCAAGAGTCATCGCCATCCTGAAGCCAGGCAAAGACCGTAACGACCCAAAAAGCTACAGACCAATCTCCCTGTTGTGCCACCTCTACAAAGTTCTGGAGAGACTTATTTTGCATAGAATTATGGAAAATATAGACCCCTGTCTGATCCCACAGCAAGCTGGCTTCAGGAAAGGCAAAAGCTGCACATCGCAAGTGCTGAACCTGACTCAGCACATAGAAGATGGCTTTGAAAGGCAGCAGATCACAGGAGCTGTCTTCATAGACTTGTCAGCAGCCTATGATACTGTGAACCACTGCCTCCTCCTGAGAAAAATGTATAATATCACAAAGGACTACCACCTCACCCGCCTCATAGGAAACCTGCTACAAAACAGGAGCTTTTTTGTTGAGTTCCAGGGCCAGAGAAGCAGATGGCGGAAACAGAAGAACGGCCTGCCTCAGGGGGCGTGCTTGCTCCATCCATGTTCAACATCTACACAAATGACCAGCCACTGCCAGAAGGGACAGAGAGTTTCATCTATGCTGATGATCGTGCCATCACCGCTCAAGCAGGGAGCTTTGAGATGGTTGAACAGAAGCTCTCCGAAGCTCTAGGTGCTCTTACTGCCTATTACAGGGAAAACCAGCTGATCCCTAATCCATCTAAAACACAGACATGCGCCTTTCACCTTAAGAACAGACAAGCATCCTGAGCTCTGAGGATTACCTGGGAAGGAATCCCACTGGAGCATTGCAACACACCCAAATACCTGGGAGTCACTTTGGACCGTGCTCTGACCTACAAGAAGCACTGCCTGAACATCAAGCAAAAAGTGGGTGCTAGAAACAACATCATACGAAAGCTGACTGGCACAACCTGGGGATCACAACCAGACACAGTGAAGACATCTGCCCTTGTGCTATGCTACTCTGCTGCTGAGTATGCATGCCCAGTGTGGAACACATCTCACCACACTAAAACAGTGGATGTGGCTCTTAATGAGACATGCCGCATTATCACAGGGTGTCTGCGCCCCACACCACTGGAGAAATTACACTGCTTAGCCGGTATTGCACCACCTGACATCCGCCACGAAGTAGCAGCCAATAGTGAAAGGACCAAGGCAGAGTCCCCCCCCCCAATTCTCATGGTGGTTCACGAAAAGCCTTACTGTACATTATTTAAACTGTTATGTTTATTCATATCATGATCTGATCACCATACTCAATATATCCCATATGCATGGGGGTATTGGGATGATACAAAAGGTTTCCTAGGGTAGATCCTCTTTCACTCAGACAGCCCCCCCCGAAACAAACCCAGCCCCCCCCCCCCCCCGAATCGAAATCCTGGCTACGGGCCTGCGCCGGGAAGTAGCAGCCATAGTGAAAGGACCAAGGCAGTGACATCTCCAGCTCATCCCCTGTTTGGGTATCAGCCAGCACGTCAACGACTTAAATCAAGAAATAGTTTTCTAAGATCTACAGAGACACTCGCTGGAACACCTCAGCAAGCGAGAGTCCAAAAGTGGCAGGCTCAAACCCAGAACCTCAATCAATGACTGATACCAAATGAGAGATTCCCCCGGACACACAGAAAACTGGGCGACTTGAAAGGCGCTGAACAGACTGTGCTCTGGCACAACGAGATGCAGAGCCAACCTTAAGAAATGGGGCTACAAAGTGGAATACATGACATGCGAGTGCGGAGAAGAGCAAACCACAGACCACCTGCTGCAATGCACCCAGAGCCCTGCCACATGCACAATGGAGGACTTTCTTGCGGCAACACCAGAGGCACTCCAAGTGGCCAGATACTGGTCAAAGGACATTTAATCAACTATCAAGTCTGCAAAATCTGTGGTTTTTTTAATCTGTTTGTTTGTTTTGTTCTGTTAGAAATGTAATACAATGGTATGGTTGCTGATGACATAATAAATAAATATAGCGGCAGAGGGCCAAGGCTAGAGTCCTGAAGGTCAGGGTTCAAATCCCGCTCAGTCCGCGGCCATCGGAAGGCTA